CAATAAAAAATACATAAAATCTGTAATTCATTAATACCTGTCCTTGACATTATATATCATACAATATACTTTAAGGGAAAAAATCCAGCTGCTTAACTTACTAGGAAATTTGATCTCAGTGATGTATGTTCTGCATTTCTTAAAGATTCCGGACTAAATGTTATGAAGACCAAAATATCATTGATATTAGTGGGCTTGCTGAAATCGATGCATGTAAGAGTATGTTTGTTTTCAAATATTTACTTGAAGAGATCATGGTATTTAAATCTTGAGTTCATTCAGTATCATTTTCAATATTGGAGGGGGAAAGAAAATTTTATTCTGACTAATATAATAATTCGTTACACATTTTCCCACCTTGAAAAAAATCTTCACCATCAACTTTTTTAAAATCAAAATCTTCTTTCTACTAAAATGCTTTAAATTATTCTTTGTAGATACTGGGGTGTGGAATTGAACATTTTGGGGGAAATATTAGTGCTACCAGTAGAATTTTCTGTCTGGTGTTTTCAACCCCTATGATATGATGAATATATTCCAATACATCTTGTTATTTCACTGAAATTGTACTTTTGGTTTACTCAGTCAGCCTGGGCTTCTCCACAAACCTGGGCTTGACACCTCAAATCCTTTAAACTGCCTTTTAAAGTCACAAAGCCTCCAGTTATCTACCTATTTGGGGTATGTCTCAGTAAATGTAGACCCATGTTAGTGAATACTCTCCTTCTGCCCACAAACCTGGGCTTGACACCTCAAATCCTTTAAACTGCCTTTTAAAGTCACAAAGCCTCCAATTATCTACCTATTTGGGGTATGTCTCAGTAAATGTAGACCCATGTTAGTGAATACTCTCCTTCTGCCGGAGAAAATGGATAGGCCACTCTGTATGCTGGTATAATAAAGACTTCTATCACAAAGAATAAACAACTAAATGAGCAGCAATAAACTTAATTTGCACATTAGATATGCTTTTCCAAGTTCCGACAATTCAGTTGAAAATAATGCTGAAGCAATGAGGCCTATAATTGAACATCCAAAACTTCTCCAGTGGGGAAACAAAAACAAATGTTGCCTGCAAACAAGATCATTTTTATATCCTGCTGTTACTCTGCTTTTTAATAATTTTCAAAATGCCAGATCAAATAATTTCTTCTTTATGTGATTTTTTCATATACCTCTTAGTGTATATACACATTATAATTTTAATCTAAGTCCTCCAAAATGGAAACACTTAAACTCTCTTTCCTTTTGGTTCTGTGTTGGTGCCTGTGGAACACGTCCTTGAATTACACTGGGCATCTTCTGAGGCTCTGGCAAGGCTGCTGCTAATTGCAATAGCAATGTTTGAATGGAAAATTGCCTTATCCTGCTGCACTGGTAAAATAGAAATTTCCGACATACAGTGCAGATAACTTCAGAATCCTCTTAACACAGATAAGCCATATCGGTCAAAAACCAAGCTGGAAAATATCTTACTCTTGTAACTATTATCTTTTTACATGTTATCTAACAACAACATTTTTTGCGTGACTGAAGCTGATAAGTAAATTCAAAGACAGATGATTGTTTTATCAGCTTTACTGAAATTTCTCATTTGCTTCTTACCACACTATTACTGTTAAGGTCACTATATGCTGATTTTGGTTTTAGAAGCAAAATTATATTTGACTCTAATAACTATCTGGTGAACTTTAAGATGAGAACACACACACATACAAATATTAAGCCATCTAGACAACCAGTTGCCTATAATAGTTTATAGTTGACTCAATGCACACTATTAAAATTGTTTATAGTTGACTCAGTAGTCAAAAAAATGGTTGACTCAATGCACACTATTATAATTCTTTCCCAGAGTGAAGCTTCGAATTTGTAGGTTGTAGAATAATAATTCCTTGGCAGTGATACTTCAGTATTCCTACCTTAAAGGGAAGTAAAGATAGCAGTCTAGTTAAAGAGGACGTGCTAATAATAGACTTATCATAGAACTATCTTTGTGTAGCAGTCACACAATTTAATAAAGATTATTTATTAAGGGTCAGTAATAAAGCAAAGTTTCTGTTCATGAAGTTATTTTATTTATTTGTGTGATTAAGTATGTGTATGCTTATATTGCATAGGGTGTGGTTCTTGTCCACGGCAAAGAAAAGACACTAAAAGCCCCTTAAAATGGGATGTGGATATTTCATAAAGATTAAAAAAATAACAAACACAATTTCCTTCCCATTATTAAATGTAAATAACTGAAAATAATTTGATAAGCATGCATATCAACATGAGTTTTATTAATGTGTGCCCTTTTCGCATACATAAATCATCCTCTGGTACTGTGCTTACAAATACCAGAATGGTGAGTTCTCTCCATGAGGTTTTTAGGATTTTCATGTAGCATCATGCTTGCCCCTCTTAGCAGAATAAGGAGGCTGATGTCCACTAGAAATATATAACTACAAACCCTGAAATTGGGAAAGTAAAAGTATTTAAAAGTTTGTTTTTTCCTTTGATTTTTTTCAGTATCCTAAAAAGCTTAAACCCTGAAAAATTGAAAACTGTCAGATTTTTAGAGCAAGAAAGCCAGGATGGAAATTATCCTTCTGAACTAAAAGGTGTAAAATAATAGCTTTTCATTCAATTGAGAAAATATTTATTGAACATGTATAGTTCCTGACAATGTTGTAGGACTTGTGGTTAATCATTGATTAAAACAGTTAAATATTCCTGTCATCTTTATGCTTCTGTTCTAGAAGGAAAAGAAAAACAAAAAGCCATATACAATAAATAAGCAAATTTTGTAGCTCGTAAGAAGATAAGTGCTACAGAAAAAGAAAGAGTAAGACCAATTAAGGTGACCAGAAATGCAGAGTGGGAAAATTTTGTTTCAATAGCCCCAGCAAAGAACATTAGAAATACTTTTTGTAAGTCAGATTATTATTATTTTTTTAAATGAACAATCTTGTTTAATTATTTTCTTTCTCGTGGAATACCTGGGGATTTGGTGTGCTTTACAGAATATCCAAAAATTTATTTTAACTTATTTCCATCATAAGAACTAGGAACCTATCTAGCAGAAAACGTGGATACAGTACACATCTGAAATGTGCAATTGTTACCTTCAGAACTAAGCACAGTCCAGCTGCTTCCCAGTGTTTCAGTTAAATCTTTGTAAGCCTTCTTTTATTTTTCTCCCATCTATTATTAGTGGACAGTGAATATCATGATGCCAAAGGTTTAAGAAATATTTACGGAAGAAAGACTATTCGTTCAGTTCATCTATTCATTAACTTTTACCCCCCTTAGCCTCTAGGGTGAAGGGATCACTATCATTGCGTTTTAGCAGTAAAACCATCGGTCCAGCTCACACATCACCAGTATTCTACAGAAACTTTCTTTTTGAAAGTACATTTCTTCTACTAATGTCTTCTATTTTTTAAAAAATATATTTTAATGCCCCCTGGATTTCTCCATATCTGAAAGACTTAACTGAATGTGTTTTTATCTTCCACTATATTTTAATCTTCTGCTGTAATAAATTAATGCAAACTACCTATACATTCTTAATTTGGAACCATGTAATGCATCTCCCTTTTTCCCCCCCCCTTAATGGACATGCTGTTTCTTCAAACATAAGCATTCACACTTTTCAGTACATGAGTATTTCCAAAATTTGCTAGAGAAATATTCTGTTATTAAATATAGCTATAGCATATATCTTGAAACACTAAGTCCATCTCTGTCTTAAAAATTGCTGACAATGCAATCTAAGGAAGTAAAGTTTTTCAAAATGTGCCACTCTGGTTGAATTTTGACACATCAAGTTTTATCAGTTACATTTCCCCAGAGTGCTTCAGACAATTGTCGACATAATGTCATATACTCGAGACAAGTTGGCAGAAATATCTCGCAGGCTTAAAGGTGGGTGTTGATTTTCCTTGAGACATTTTAAATGATAGTTGAAGTGTAGCAGCTAACTGATTTTTATTGAATATACTTATTTTTTAATAGAAAAGATGAGAAAGCACTGATTGCTGAATTTAATCACTTGGGCTTAATTAGCTGCACAAACTGCTTTATCAACATAGGCATTTTTATCATTTGGGGGGCAATGAAATGATAAAAGTGACATGGCTTCCAGTAAACATACTAGTTTTATGAGCTGGGATTCAGTAAAGTAAAGTAGAAAAGACGGGGAATAGGCACTTCTGATACTAATTATGTCCCTTGGTGATATATGTGGGAACACTTGGATTGATACTAGTTTAAAAATCTTAAAGTAGAATATGTGGTTTTACCACCCCAAATAGTATGAGTTTATCTGTTTACCATGATGGGAATATAATAATGATTCATATGGACACTATAATTTTTTTCTTTGAAAAGAACTGTTTATTAAATTACAAGTATATGCAAGAAGTAGAATATGTGGTTTTACCACCCCAAATAGTATGAGTTTATCTGTTTACCATGATGGGACTATAATAATGATTCATATGGACACTATAATTTTTTTCTTTGAAAAGAACTGTTTATTAAATTACAAGTATATGCAAGAAACCGCATTTCACTACTTATGTACTTAGAGTTCTATAAATAAATGAGCCAGATATGTATTGGGTAGCCTTACATATGTGTAAAATTTTCATACAAAATGAGAGATTCTGAATGACATTTAACCAAGAAAAATATTATCTAGTGACTTTACCAAGATGTCCGTGTCCCCAGACACTAAGACATTTATGAAAATTCAAATATTCCAAGTGTAGTTTCTAACTCTAATTACACACTGACAGCATTTTCAACTGCCAAAGTATTCACATCTACCATGGTATCCCACTGGCAAAGTGTACATGCTGTTAGTGAGTATAGTAATGTGTTCTTAAATAAATTGTAAAATCAAATATTTTGCTTATACAATATGACACAGGTTTGACATTGTAATAGAAGTCATGTTATGCATATACATTCCAATGTTCATTAAGCACAAAATGAAGATCATAAAATACCTTTTACGATGAGGCTGCCAGTACTCTTTGCTGTGCCAAACTGATTTGTAGCTATGCATGTATATGATGCAGCATCTGACTTGGTAACATTATATATCTTGAGGCTGCCATCCTCCAAGATAAACACTCTAAAAAGAAAATATATAATTAATGGAACTAATGCTCTTCAACACTGATAAATCATAATTTCTTATTTTCATTTTAAAACATTGCTAAAATAGTGGGTGTATATGGTAATATGAATTTATTCCTTTCCTATTATTCTATTATTAATTGTGAGCAATCTCTATTAGACTAATAATCTCTTCATATTAGAATAAATAGCATGTTATAATGTCTATTAGAATAATAATCTCTTCATATTACAATAAATAGCATTTACTTTTATTCTGAAACAATATTTATAATTATCATACTATAACTTGAATTATCATTGTTGATTTTAAGGTACATTAAAAATTAAATGAGTGCTTGAAGCTATAACACCCAATTGCTTGATGAATAAGAAATTTAATTTCCTTAGTGTATTTACAAAAGTCAACTCACTGGTGAAAATTGAACCTGCCTTTGGAGAAATGCAAATCAATTTCCACATTGTTTAGTGTGTTTTATAAACCTGGTTTTATCTAGCTTTTTAAGTGACCAAACAGGATTTTGAACCATGACAGTATTTGCAGTGCTAGTGAGTTGAAGGAAGCATCCATGTTTCCATGGCCAAAGGGCCCTGCCGATTATGTGGCCTGGCCCATCAAAAAGAGGAAGAGAGGAGTACAAAGATGGAGACTTCATGGATCACACTGAATGAATATTTCTAACATACATAGTATACAAAGGACGGATATCTAGCTAAGAAGTTCCAATCTTTCATAAAATTATTCCTATTAAGTTTTCCTTGAAATTCAACAGTAGTCTAAAGCAAACATCAGAATGCCATTGGAATGAGGGAAAACCTCAAGGTTTGCTTTAAAAAAAATCACAGTCAAATGTTTTAATAAAAGGAAGAAAAAAAATGGAAAAAATAGAAGCATTTGCCCAATTTTAAGCTTCTGTATTTTATGGGTCACAAATCTAGTTATCAATCTTTTAAAAACACAGCTCTAAAAACACTAGTGTGCAGCCAAGATTGTACCAAAATAAGTGATGATAAACTTATTTTTAACAATAGTTTTAAAGGAAAGGAAGACAAAACAATTTGTATGCATGTCATATCCATTAACAATAACAAAACAGCATTTGTTGCATTGCAAACATATCATTGTTTCTAATATGTGTATAACACGAGATGTAGCTAATATAATTAATTAGCCAATTTGAAACACAGAGAATATCAGCCAACTATAATTTGTTTGAATCCAGCTTCTGATGTTGGGTTTATTATTAATAATGGAATCCAATTTTTGTCATCAGTGAGTGGAAGGGGCCACATCTGGGTATAGAATGTTCTGTGGCACATGATCAAATTTTTTTAAAGTTATTATTTTAGAGTATTCCCCCAACAGCAGACTTTTGGTTATCTTATTTAATTTCTGAAATGTCTAATTTACTAGATACCAATTTACATTAACAATTGAATCATACCTTTACTGACACAGTAACAAAGCTATTCTAGAATACAACAAACTGATGGCCAAACGCAATTCTTTATCTGATTCAATTAGAAGAGGTCAATGTGAGACACATTTGGGTGCATCATTTACCTCTAGCATTTAGGAATAACAAAGAATTTTCAGCAACATAGAAACATTGGATATTGGCCAACAAAACACTTTATGTGATAAAAATAATATCTATGCTGATATCTAAATGCCATCAAATTTCTTAGGTACCAATGCCAATGTTTATATGTCATATAATTTTTCACATAATATTCATAAAGAGACAATTTATGTAAAAAGTGGTCCCCTAGTACATCATCCTTTTCAGGCTCAACAGATCTCCAGTAATGTTTGCTAAATTGAATTGCAATTATCATTGAAACGGATTAATTCTCGTAAAATCATAATAAATAAATCAGTATTTCTCGAGTGCCTACTACTGTTTGAGTTACTGAGAGGGCAGACTAAGAGTAAGAAAAGTTAAAATCTGCCCAAGACTAAATAGCTAAGAAGTATCAGAGAATGAATTGAAAGCTATATCTGATTTCTCTCGCACTCATGCTCTTTCCAGGACCATCACTTTGTCTTATTTTTAGCAAAGTAATTCTGCATGTCAATTATGATGTACAAACTGTTTCTGTTGAGTCATCATTAGATGCCCTAAAGGTAGTCTGTATGTTTACTCCTCAAAATGTTGTCTCATCCCAGACCTACTGATTCAAACTCTGCATTTTGACAAGTTACCCAGTGACTGGTACGCACAATAAAGTCTGAGAACTATTGGTCTTTTCACTATAAATTAATCTTTAATCTGTAAAAGTATCGTTATTTCTAAGTAAGGATCCATTTTGTCTCATAAGATCAAATACAAAAATTTATAAAAGAATAAAAAGTTAGATTTTAAGTGTTCTATGAAAATAATCAAACTAGTAGCCAAATTGATTTATCATTTACTAAAATGATTTTAAAAGCCATTTCTCTCTAGTTACCAAGGATATACAAAGCCAGAGATTTAATCATAACTAGAGATTTTTGTCATGATAAATAATACAAATATTTCAATTTATTATTTAATTTAATTTTCTCTTTTGTTAATAAGAAATATTTAAATATAGTAAGAAAACTTAATCTTGTGACAATATAAATGGAATCAAACCACCTAATCATTGTCCTAATTTTATGAGGCATAATTAAACAAAAAATATTAAAGAAAATTAAGTATTTTCAGTTCTGTTACATATCTAAACATGGCTTAGCAGAAACAATTTATAAAAGGAAAAAAAAAAGGAACGTCCAACTAAGATCAAACTGTACCAAGAATCTGAAAGATAAGGCAAAATGCACATGTAAGAATTGACTGTAACATTTTAATTGATGGTTTTCATAAAAATCATAAAGAAAGGTACAGATTTTTTTTTCTATCCTTTTGAAAGATTCAAAAACATACTTTATCTGGTGGTTGGTAATAACATATCTATGAAAGATATTAAAAATTCTATCTTAATTGCATATAAGCTTCTCTGGCATTTAAAAACAAAGCATAGCCACAAATATAGATAGGAGTGGCTATCTGTAAAAAAACCCACAACATTCTGGTAAGTAAAATGGAGATTTGCATGAATAATTAGCAAAGAGAACATAGCTATAGGGAATAAAATAGAAGACAATAAAGTGATTGATTACATATTACATATATTTTTATACTAGGATTTAATGCTGAGGTTATACTACGAATAGACAGTAGATCATAAAAGTAGGTATGGAAATATGTAAGTACCATAGAATTATGGAAAGGCTTCCAAAAATTCAGTAGCAATTTAAATGCATGATTGCATTTAATTTATTAATTTATTCAGCAAATATTTACTAAACGCCTACTATGTTTGAAGCAATATGTTAGATGATCCAATAGAGATGTGAGAAATAGTATTAAATATCAAGGGTACTCTTTTCCATGATATTAGCTCATTGGTCAAAATTTAAGGAGGTTATGAGCTATTATTGAGAACCGACTGCACAGGCCCTCTTCTAAGTGTGCAATAAATGTCAAGTTCATTGAATTCTTAAGACAAACCTCTGGGCTTGCTGTTGTAATCATTCCCCTTTTACAAGTCAGGAAGTGGCACAGAGAGAAGTAATAAGTGACTCAAGGTACCACTAGGTAGTATAGGGACAAAATTTTAAACACGTCTTTCTCTTTAGACCAGGAAGCACTTATTTTAGCAAGTGCTCTTTCACTTCAAATTTTCAAAACATGGTTTACTATAGCATAGTTCTTAAGGACAGCATAAACCTGATATATAAAATATATATATATATATATATATATATATATATAAATGAGTATATATAATTTTATTTTCGGTTCTTAAGGACAGCATAAACCTGATATATAAAATATATATATATATATATATATATATATAAATGAGTATATATAATTTTATTTTCGTAGAATGACCTTTAATACTGGAGGTTCTTAATCTGTTAATCTGACCTCCAGAGAGTGCAGTAATTTCCTGAAATGTGATGGAACATATTTGTGTTTGCATATATGCACATTTCCTCAGGGTTCTTTGCTTTTGTGAGATGTAAAGGCAAGCTTGATTTCCCCCTGCTAGGGGGAGTTTTAATCTTAGACGTCTTAATGTGTAAGGCAATAAGGGTGGTGATGCTAATAATAAGGATTAATTTTCTTCTTCTTTATGCCATCCTATGCAATTTTAGTGTTATTAGCAGAGTGGGTCAGAACGTGAGCCCCATCATTTAATTTTTTGTGTGACCAAGGTCAAGCTAATTAATGGTCCAAGTCCTCAGTTTTCTCATCTGTAACATGAGATTGTGAATATTACCTGTGTCACAGAGTCATGAGGATTAATTGATATAAATGATTTAAAATGCTTAGCGTTGTGCCTGACTCCCAGTTAGCAGTCAGTAGGTCAGTTTTCCATGAACCGGTTTCTCATTCAGCCTAAGAATTTAAGCACTTTTATAATTCCGTGAAGAATAACAACAGGGGTAGGAAATGTTTTGTGACAGTTCTGTTTGAACAAAGGGACCCGAGATGTATATGCCAGGCTTTTTGAAAGGAGCCTCATGCCAGCAGACTGTACTTAACCTTAAACTTCATTGCTTAAAATCCTTCCTTGAGTTTCATGCAACTTCTTGTCTGTGTACTTGGTAACTTAATCTTTCTGATCCAGAGTTCTAATTTTTATTTTGGGAATAATAATATGGTTGTTAAAGACAATTAATTAATTACATGCTAAGTGAGAATCAAAGCTGTATTCCTTGCTGATACTAATATTTGGCCTTTGTTCTCCTCCATGACGCAGGCTATTTCTGATTCTCATTTTCGTTGCTCAAATCCTTGGGTCAGGCTGGACTCATCAGTATGCTTTGTGGCTTTAACGGACCTATGGTTATCAGTCCCTGGACTCTCCATGGTTCTGGTGTTACCAAGTTCAGACACTTGACTTATGGTGTGTGTATGTTTCTTCCTCATTTCTCCCACTATAATCATTTTGCAGTTC